CAAGGGCTGAGTTAGCATTGGCTCTCACTGGCCCAGAGAGAGCAGCCCCCCTCCCACTGGAGAACTGACCCTGTCCCCTCATCCTGTCTCATCCTGCCTCATAGGAGGCCCCCATGTGCACTTGGAAAAGCTGACCCCATGCCTCATTATGGGCATGGGAGAGCTGGCTCTGCCCCTCATTTGAGGGGTGGTGGTCTCAGCAGCCCAGATAAATCAAGTCAGCTACCACCCAGGTACACATCTAGGGCTTTGAGTTAGCACTCCCCAACATCTACCCCAGCTATGACCTGCTAGAGAGCATGAGGGACTGGCCCTGCTCCATAGCCACAGGATCTCCATGACTTGGGCAACAGCAAGATCTGAGAGGAGATTCAGTGAGGGTCCAGCACTGATGGTGTACCAGAAGCTAGAGGCCTTGAACCAGACCAACAACTCACTACACAATGAACATTTTCAAGTAAAGCTGTTTGGACAGAAAGCATGATACACTGATGCTCCCAGTGTCACTGAGACAAATAAAGAGGCAACAGGGAGACAGGGAAAATGGAGGACGGGAGGGCTTTTGTTTGTTCGTTTAATTAATATTCTTATTTTTATTATTACTTTAAAGTTTTCCTTGGTGGGGGACACTACAAGGGTGAAGGATAGATATGGAGAGATTGGGAAAAGAGTGGAACTGAGGTTCATGATGTTAAATTCCAAAAGAATCAATACAAAATTAAATTTTTAAAAATTAATAAGATAATGACCAACAGTTTTTCAAATAATAAAATCATCAAGCCACAGTCACAGAAGTAAGAAGAGAAAGAAAGGCAGGCAAGCAGGCATACATACACATACATGTACACATACAAATACACGAAATATTCAGTACTATGAACTTCTGATTTTGGGAATTACACTAGATTTGAGGGGTAGTGAACAATACAAACCTAAATGACCTCATTTAACACCATGAAAGTTTCTAGAACATGATGGCTAGGCAAAGGAATCAAGAAAAGCTCAGTTCGTTCCCATCCTGAAAACATGAAATGTGAGTCTAAGAAAACCAACTAACTGAAATCTTCAGAGACAAAATTGCAGGACAAATTAAGTACACCAAAAGTCTGCCAAGGGTCACCTCAGATATTCAACTCAGACACGAAACAGTTCATGGCTAAAGACAAACATGAGGGAATAGTGTTTGATAGTTGCATGGGCCACAAGGAGAAATGCCCCACAGTGGAGTAGGTGCCCTGGAACAGTACTGCTCTGGTCCAGCCTAGTGAGATTTCAGAGACAGGCAACTGAATCAGTTAACTGCATTTCAAGCCAAAGTTCCTTCCCCTCAGGGATGCAAAAAATACCAGCATCCCAAAATGCCTATTTTCCTTTCAAAAACTGCCAAGCATGCAAAAAAGTACAAAATAGTATAAAACAAATAATATGAAACAAAACCAATCATTTGAAACTTATCAAGAGCTAACAAAGAATGTCAGAATTCACAGGCAAAGCAATTAGAAGTGCTTTGTACTAGTGATGGTTTCTACTGTTGTATATCAACACCATGACCAAAAGAAACCTGGGGAGAGAGGAGTTTATTTCAGCTCACGGTTATAGTCCATCATCTAAAGAGAAGTCAGGACAGTAATTCAAGGCAGAAGCGTGGAGGCAGAATTGATACAGAGGCCACAGAGGAATGCTGCTTACTAGCTTGCTCCTCCAAACATGTTCAGACCACTTTCTTACACCACTCAGGACCACCTCCCAAGGGTGGTATCATCCACAATGAGCTGGGCCTTCCCACATTAATCATTAATTTTAAAAAAAATACCCACAAGCCAATTTATTAGAGCATTTTCTCAACTGAGGTTCTCTTTTTCCAAATGACTTTAGCTGTAGCTCAGCAGTTCTTAACCTGAGGGTCTTGACCCCTTTGGAGGTCACCTAAGACTCTCAGAAAAAAAACAGATATTCCACTTACATTCCAATTCATAACAGTAGCAAAATTACAGTTACGAAGTAGGGACAAAAACAACTACATGGTTGGAGTCACCGCAACATGAGGAACTATATTAAAGGGTCTCAGAATTAGGAAGGTTGAGAGCCACTGCTCTAGCTTGACAAAACAATAGACAACCAGCACAGTTCTCAGAGAGGCTACAGAAACTGCTCAGTTGGTAAAGTCCTTGCTGTACAAGCATGAAAACCTGAGTTTGAACACCAGAATTGACATGAGAAAGCCTAGTATAATGCACAGGCTTGTAATTCCAGGGCTGGGAGGCAGAGACAGGAAGAGCTCTAGGATATCTGGCCAGGTAGTAGAGCCAAAACAGTGAGCAACAGATTCAATTAAATAAAAATACATTTAAAATCTCAAAAACAAAGTAGAAAGCAATCAAGAAAGAAACCCGATACTAACCGCTGGCATGCAAATGCACCCACAGATGAGCACACACTTGAGCACACATGCACACATACATACTTAAGAGTGCTCTCATAACTATATTCCTTCTTTTTTCCAACAAAAGTTGGAGGAAACAGATTGAACAATGTCAATTATCAGCATGAAGATAACAGGACCAAGCAAAACTGAAAACCAGTGTCTGAGAATAAAATACAGCATCTGGGATAAGAGGCAGATCAGACCTGCAGAAGAAAGGTTGAGATGAGTAAAACCACAACAGAAACTATCCAAAACCAAACGAGCTACAGACAATCTGCAAATAACTGAAGTCCCTGAAAAGGGTAGCACAAAGGAGAAAAGAAAAATATTTGAGTAAATTAAGAGCCAAAATTTCTGAAGTTATATGAAAAGTATTGTAGCATGAGGGGGCCTGCTTGTTTGTGTTTTCTGTTCTGCCCTGTTCCCACAGCTGTTTAGCCCCAAAGAAAATCACACAGAGATCTCTATAAGTTATAATGCTGATTGGCCCATTAGCTCATGCTACTTATTTGCTCTTGTAGCCACAAACATGTGGCTAGCATAGATAAGAACAATGGGTAAATATAAGCTATAAGAGAAAACAAGCAGGCCCCTTCATGTTACAGAATGGCACCCATTTGCTATGGATACACTGTTGCAGCTTGCTTGCTGGCAAGGACCTTAAAGCGACATAGAGTTGTGGCAAAAAAAACATGGCTACAACCAGTACCTCCACCGTGAAGGTGGAATTTCATAAAGCTAAGGACTGGGCTGGATCTAGTAGTAAAAGCCACGATTTAATCTTCTCCATATTCATTAGCAAATTAAAGACCCACATGGTCAGAAAAAGAGAGATATACAATAAAGAGAGATTCAAAGAGGAAGAAAACCTCTAAATGGTTTATAGTGTGTTAAAAATATATACAGGCTAAAGGTTAAAGTTCTCAAAATAAAAAAGAAATGAAGAAAGAAAGAAAGAAAGAAAGAAAGAAAGAAAGGAAGGAAGGAAGGAAGGAAGGAAGGAAGGAAGGAAGAGAGTAGCCGGTTGTGGTGGCACACGCCAGTAGGATTTGCCTGGGAGGCTGAGACAGACAGATCTCTGTGAGATCAAGGATAGCCTGGTTTACAGAGGGAGTTCCAGGACAAAGATACACAGAGAACGTGTCTCAAAAAGCCAAAAGTTAAAAGTAAAAATAAAAGAAATAGAGGTTAAAATAAAGCCGCATAAAGATGGAAAATACACAAAAAAAATTTATATTGTATGCTATTATGCTCTCTTTAAATTGTTTGAATGCTGAGGAAGGAGTAACAGCTGCTAAAAGATATTTGCTTATAAATGCTGCAGAATTAATCCAAGATAGGTATTTTGAAAAGACCTTGACTTCAAAATTGAAGTCAAAGGGTATGTTACTTTGGAGAAGAGATTTTGCTTTTGTTTCCACAGAAAATGAGAGCCTCTGGATTTATTCAGAGTTAAGAAAAATCAGCTTTGATCAAGGAAGACCACCTGAGAAATATTTGGCAGGAGTAGAAGGCCCAGATGTCTGAGTTCTTCATCCAGAACAGGTTCAAGACTGCTGCCTGAGATGATCAAGACTCATAGGATACTCCAATCAGGACTTGATTATAACTCTAAATTTTCTTTAGGTCCCCATAAGATTATCAGCACCCCCAAACAGCTGGAAGGAGCCTGGAATACTATGCCCACATTCCTAAAAAATGGACTATGGATATTTTCCTTTGTTTTGTTTTGTTTTTAAAAAAAAAGGGGGGGGGGGAACCGGGCAGAACAGGAAAACCCCACAAGCAAGCCCCTGCATGTTACAAAGTATAAATTCCCACATCCAAGAAACTTGATGAACCAAAAACCAAGAAAGTCACATTAAGGCACATCATAGTTAAAGTGCCTTCTATTAGTCATAAAAAGACATATTAAAAAGACATTTTTAAATTCACATTGACAGAGAAGTTTTTACTTAATATTTCTCAAAAATAATGCAAGTGGGACTAACAAGATGACTTGGTGGCTGAGGATACCTGCCACCAGCCTGACAACTCAAGTTCAATTCCCAAAGTCCACATGAAGGAACAGAAGAACCTATTCCTGCAAGTTCTTCTCTGACCTCCACACCCACTCTGGCATGTGTGCAACCAGCCACATACAGGAAAAATTAACTCAAGTGAACAGATAAAGCCCCAACATCTTTGCATGTAAACATATTTGAAAAGTAACTTCAGGGGCTGAAGAGACGACAGCTCAGTGGTTTAGAGCATTTGTTCTTCTTGCAGAGGCCTCGGCTTATCACCCAGCTCCCACAAGGTGGTTCACAACCACTGGTAACTCCAGTTCTAGGGGATACACAGACAGACATGTAGGCAAAGCATTCATAACATATAAAATAAACAAGTCTTTAAAAGAAGTAATTTCAGAGAACTTATACTTACCCTCTCCTATAAGAAAGACCAATGACTCTGAACACAGAAAGTTTTTAACACAAACTAAACTTTCATAAATTTTCAAATATTTTAAGACTATTTACAGTCTTTTTATAACTAACCAAGTCTAACAAATAAGTGCAAAAGAAAAGTACAATACCTAATTTTGTCTTAAGGGTCTTTACATTCTCAAGTTCTTTCTCCAATTCCATTACGTTGTATTCCACTGATGAAGACAGCCCTATCAAAGCAAAAGGACTTGTAAGTGTAGCAGTGGATGCTTTAACACGGGAGAGCAGGTAGACCTGTAGCTAAAATACAAAACATCTGGTACTCATGAGGGCTGGGAAGGACAATTGCTGCTGTGAATCAAATAAAAGCTCACTATTTAGAGTAGTGGTTCTCAAACCTGTGAGTTGTGACCCCCCTGGAGGTCAAATGACCCCTACAGAGGGGTTGTCTAAGACCATCAGAAAACACAGATATTTACGTTAGGATTCATAACAGTAGCAAAATTACAGTTACAAAGTAGCAGGGAAAATAATTTTATGGTTGGGAGTCACCAGGACATGAAGAGCTGTAAAAGGGTTACAGCAGTAGGAAGGCTGAGAACCACTGCTCTAGAGAATCCAAACTCTTGAAGACTAACAATCACATTTCTTAGAAAAATGTCTTTCCTTGCTGGATCTCTTATACTAATCTTTCTTTTCATGTGCTTACTATAGTAAGAACAATGAGTCAAGACCTTCCCCTCTTCAGTTTGCTTCCCTAAAATGACAATTATCCCCAGTGTGGCTGGTGCTTCCAAGGCTTTCTTCACATTCAGATTTAACTTCTGTCTTACATATGGGTTTTCTGACTCATCCAAATTTTTAGACAAATGTCAAACCAGACACATTAGTTGACTGTTTGCTATTGCCTGTCAATAAATATTTCCTAACAGCTGAGTATGCATATCACAATCTGGACGAGCCGCAGCTCCACTCAGCATTATTGCATTTGTCAATATTCTGGTGAGCATTAGCACATTCGGTTCATTTGTTTCTATTACTTCTGTGAGGCAGATTTCCAGTCTTCAGTTTTAAAAGTTTTTTAAGGTTTACAGTTCCCAAATGTTTTTGTGTACTATAATAATTCAAGTTATTGTATTAATTTCAACTTCTATCAACAGGTTTTGAAAATTCCTGTTTTCAAAATGCCTATATCATCCATCACTCACACTGAATGCAGTCAACTGTTGAACTTTTGCCAAAGTGATAGGCTACTTAAATGCACATTTTCCTAAATGTATCAGATTGCACCTCATGTATCTCATATGGGTTTCCTCCACTCCTACTTTCTACTTGTCTCACCAATGGTCTGTGTACAGTATCTTCCTAGTCTTTCTGCTAAATCTCTTAAATCCTGAAACAGATGATTTTAAATCCCCAGATACAATGTGCCAGGTTAGGTTTCCTCCACTGTTAAAGGATTGTTTTCATTATGAATGTGCATTTGGTTGCTGAAGGTCTCCCTTATTATATCTCTAGGATTGTTACTTTTTTTTTCTTGGTTTTTCGAGACAGGGCTTCTCTGTATAGTTTTGCAGCCTGTCCTGGAACTCACTCTGTAGACCAGGCTGGCCTCAAACTCACAGAGATCTGCATGCCTCTGCCTTCCAAGTGCCGGGATTAAAGGCATGCGCCACCATCACCTGGCTACATTTTTCTTATAAAATATATTTTATCATTTCATAATGATCCTTTTCTTAAATGTTCTGTGACCTAAATTCTATTCTTAGAACTTTTAAGTTTTACTTCCTTTTAGGTTTTACTTGCCTTGCATTTGTGTGTGTGTGTGTGTGTGTGTGTGTGTGTGTGTGTGTGTGTGTGTTTCACTGTAATCATTATCTAGATCTTATTTGAAGTTTAATCTCTTAAATCAGTTAAGAATTCATTGGAACCCAGTAGGTGGTGGCATATGCCTTTAATACCAGCACTTGGAAAGCAGAGGCAGGAGGATCTCTGTGAGTTCAAGGACAGCCTGGTCTACAAAGTGAGTGACAGCCAGAGAAACCCTATCTGGGGGAAAAAACATTTGTGATAAGCAAATGAACTTGACTCCCTATTTAAAACAGCAAAGCCACTCACTGAAGAGGTCAACAGATAACTTTCCAGTAAAGGTTAGCCCTGGATACATGCTTATATACAACAAAACTAAACTCAGTAGGTTATATATGTAATTTGTGTATATGTGTGTTTACATTTAATAATAATAATTAGAGAGGCTATCAAAAATTTGGAAGGTTAGAGGAGTTGGAGGGGAAATAGAAAGGACCAGTGATGTAGATGCAATGTTCATGTATAAAATTCTCAAAAGTAAATAAAACTCTTTATAAAAGAAAATACATATACAAGCAAGCAGAGAAACCAGGCAACTGGAAGCCCTAGTGTCAAGAATCCTGTTACAGCAGTATGGGGAACAGAAAAAACCCTGAATGAATGAAGTCCTGAATGATTGTGTGTTGTTGATATGGGTACAGTCATGTTAAGGACTACAAAGCCTCAGACCCACAGGAAAATGAATGACAAAGCCTTCCTTCCTGATCCAAGAGCAAATGTATATTGTGAGTGCAGAAAAATGTCTACCATAGCTTTCTTCCCCAGAATTATTTATGGCCTGAAGACTGCAGCCCTACAGAGATTTCCTATTCAGATAAACTAAACCTTGTACAGCTATATGTAATAACCCTGTCTCCCTACTCAATTCAATATAATGAACATGCTGAGTTTTTGGCTAGCTTTGGTTTCCCCATCAGAGAGCCCAGTCCAAGTGAATCCAATTTCTGTATCTGTCTTTTCTTCATTGACCCTTAGAAATAAGGAAACAGGATGACAAGAATGACAAGAAGAGTAATTAAAGCATAGGAGGTAAGAATGCCAAAGACCCCTTCAGTCAGGTCTGTCCCTGGAGCCTTGATGAGCACAGCACAGCAGGGAGAAGTCAGCAAGGAAAGTTGAGAGGGGAAGGAAAACGGCAAAGCTTTGGCTTTATCAGAGAAAACGCAAGCAGGACCTGAACAAAATGATGTGCTAAGTAGCCCTTACTCATTCCGTTCATTAAAATACAGTACCTACACTCAGAATAACTCAGAACATTAGCTTTCCACACTATTTGTCCTAGTTTTCAGTGAATTTTAAAAATTTTATCTTTATCAGAATAAAGTGTGCACAAAGCTTTGTGTCAAGCATTTGCTTGGACTTGTTTCAGTGCTTGCTTCTTCCTCATGCCACATCACCAAGGGGTGTTTTGCTGATTCTTCACCAAAGCAGAAGAGAGAAGCAGAGAGAGGAAGGAATCACAGAATATCACTCAAGGACATGCCTCCAGTTCCTTGAAGCTAAGATCTACCTTCTAATGCATGTTTCTCAACCTGAGGGTCACAACCCTTTCACATGGGTCACCTAAGACCATCAGAATACATAGATATTTACAATTCACAACAGTGACAAAATTACAGTTAGGAAGAAGCAACAAAAATACTGTTATAGTCGGAGGTCACAACAGAAGGAACTGTATTAAAAGGTCTCAGCATTAGGAAGGTTAAGAACCGCTGTTCTAATGTTTATAGCATCTTGCAAACTATCACAACCAGCTAGAGCCTACAGTTTCAGCACTGTTTTTGAGCAGTCTGCAGCAATTCTCAGTCTTACCCAGAAAAGTCTGCTTGTCAATGACACTGTAAACTGTGCAGGATCTTTGTTCCCAATATTCTTGCTGTGAATGCATTTCTGTGCAGTGTTGGGAACACAGTGAGCATTTTCAATCTCAAAATTCACAGATCAGATCAGAGCAATTTCTTGATCCTGTCACTTTTTCATCATATTTTTTCTTTAGCCCTGTCTGGAAGGAATGTCTTGATAGCTAGTGGCTAGCTCTACTGAAGGGGGTCTCTAAAATTCTTACCTCTTACACTTATTTTTGTCATTCTGGCTTATTTTCTTGTCTGACTCAGGGTATTGAGAAGTGGTTCATCTCGAGCCATCCCTCCTCCATGCACCCATATCTACATGCCCATGCCTGCTGTGTTCACATGGGAGGCTTTCCTCACTCAACAGTCTTGGTTGTTTGCGTTTTAAGAATGAAGTTATGAGAGATAAATGCTGGTTTGAACTTCAGACAAGATGAGTTTCACTCTTAAGAATCCAGTGATTCCCTTTGCTAGAGCTGCAGAGCTTCCCTCCGGGGCAGGTTCCTGAGAGGAACCCTCCTGATCTCCTTGTCAAATAACGTTCAGCAGTGCAAGTGGAGGAAGGAGCCTATGTATTTTGTCTGGACGCACACCCACCCTTCTAAAATGGACAAGAGGCATGTGTCTGGCACCTTGGATGGAAGCAAAGGAGGTGGAGCTTAAGCCACTTCATGACAGTTTTTCCATGAGTCCTACCTTTCTTCCTTCATACTGCCTCGCCTGGTGGTGCCACTTTGGGACTTTGAGGGATTCTAAGGTATAAATCAAGCATAGATGACTTAGGAACAGGCTTCTTTTATTCTTTTAAACTGGTTAATTCCAACATTTTCCTGTCTACTAAATTCCAAATTTTTATTGTGGTTTTTCTTCTGGGAATTTTCTGTCCTCTTAGATTTATAATTCTCTGAAACTCACTGTTCTCACCTGTGGGATTGCAAGTACCTATCAGGATGTTTTCCACTAAGCCACAAAACTCAAAGTAACTTAAAAATAAGTAGTTTCACATAATTAGGATTTAAGGGGACAGCGCAAGCCTCCGTGTGGTTTTTCCAACAGCTCAACAGTGACATCAAGGGACTAAACTGTGCCTCCCGCAGCTAGACTGATGTGTGAGGAGTGGGGCTTTTCCCTCTAGGCAGGGCAAATGTATAGACTGTTTATTCTGCCTTGTCTTTATTTAATCTTTCCCCAGCTACAAGAACTTCTGTTGATTTTTTTTCCTCGGGTTTATGGGTATGTCAGTGCTTACCTTCTCATTTGTAGTTCTCATACTTGGATAGATTTTTTTCATTATAACAGTATAAACAGCCTTAGCCTACAGTATAAACATATTTCAGTATAAACAGCCTTAGCCTATAACCTGTTGTTAAGTATAGAGAACTGTGTCAAGGTAAGAGCTCTCTCCACCATGTTTGTTAATCATCTTTCCTCCAAGTCCTCATCTTGCTGAAATATTATTTCAAGTACTAATGGTAGTAATGGTACATTTTTCCTTTAGTGCAGAAGTTAGA